CGGGGCTGCTGACAGGCTCCTCCCCGGGGCTGGGGCTGGTGCAGAGCCCCGGGCACCCCGCTCCTCTGCAGGGCTGACTCACGCTGCAGCGCAGTCTGCCACGCCACAGAGCACTGCTCCTGTGCCAGCAGAGCCACCTCACTCACCAGGCCCTCCCTAGGCGCTGCCATCCCACACCCTCGGGCTGCCCGTTCCCCTCTCCCAAACCAAATACCAAATCCTGTGCCCTGGTCCAGCACCCTGCTAGAAACAAAGGGGCCAAAAGAGCCAGAGTCTTCTTAGTGCCCTGAATCACTTCAGAAATTTGGGGACACGAAGCGTCAGTGAGGGATCTGCAGTGCCAGCTTCCACCTGGGAGTCATTGATGGAGATCCAGAGCAGTGCTGGCAGGGAACCCCCAGCCAGGGCAACACGCTCAGGTTGCTGATTTTGCTCCTGGTGTATCTGCAGGTACTCAGCACGAAGCATCCTCCACCCACGTGTGCTGACCCCAGCCCTTGTTTTCTGCTCCCTTCTCCTGATTTGCAGGGTTCAAGCATGAACCAGGAAGGCTGATGTTCCAAGGCAAGCACCAAAGTGCTGTTGGTGGGACTGTGCCTGCATGGGGCTACAGGAGCCTCCATCACCACCCTGAGCCTAGTAACGGCCTCCTGCGAGGTGTCACCAAGCTACAACGGGACCTCCAGAGTTCCTACAGCCCAGTGCCTCTAAAATGCCTGTTTCTCCTAGAGATGAGAGTTACCACCAGCATTTAGTTGCTCTTTCAAATGCAATTTGCCCATATTCCTGTAAATTGCCAAAACCAGGGCCAGCAGCAGGTTCCCCTTAAAGAAGGTAAAAATCACATCTTAAACAAATTTGCAGCCCCAGCCAGGACCTTCTCTTGTCCTGCTACACAAGCAAAATACAATTCCTGTCACCAGAACTGAACAGTCCCCAGTTTGGACACCAGCAACCCAGAACACCAGGCTCCTGTGCTGCACAGGGCGTGCCAGGAACACACAGGCAC